GGGTGGCAGTTTGAGGTCAACTCAGATGGTGTTGGGGTTGCACCTCCAATCTCCATCCATCTTCCCATGCCATGCCTCCTCTGCATCCCCTGCACCCCTCCCAGGAGCTAGGCTTCCCACCCAGCCGAATGCAGGAGGCAGATGAATTGAAGGAGCTGAGCTGCGGGCAGTGTTTGGGAGGGGAATAGGTAGCAGTGTGAAGCCAACTTATTCCCACCTCGTGGCTCCGCTCTTCTTCCTATCCCCCCCTGCATCCCATGCCCCCCTCCCAGGAGCTAGGCTTCCCACCCAGCCGAATGCAGGAGGCGGATGAATTGAAGGAGCAGAGCTGCGGGCAGTGGGAGGGGAAGAATCGGGCAGATGTGTTCCCCACTGATGCCACTCTCCCACGGATCACTAGCGCCCAGCCGGATTTTTTCTGCCCGGGAGGGGAGTCACAACGGCAGGTAAATCAAGCCGTTTTTTGTATTGCTGGTTTGGAGTTGATCTTCAGTAGCCAAGTCACTCATCGACTTAACCAGTATTTGTATTTTGAGTAATGGTGTCGTATATCCTTGTTATGTGGTGATTTCTATATATCATATATTTTGTATGCATTATTATCCATTACCCTCTTCCCTATGCCATACCCCCTTTTTTCCTCCCTGTCCCCTCCCCCCCCCACCACCCCTTTCAACTCTCCCAGGTAGAATACCGAATGGTTGAGTTTTTCAACCGCCTCGCAGTCTCCCGCTCCTCCGCACTTTTAGCTAAATGCCGCTCCATGCCGCCCAACGCTCCTCCCATCCCACCGTACCGCATCGGCATCTTCTCCCACTCCACAGCAATCAAGTGCCTGTTGAAAGGCCTGATAGGGTCCAGTCCCCATTTCACTCACAGATTCGACATTGCAGTTTCCTCCGTCACTCTCCTGACGTACTCACCGGGAGCCAATAGCCGAATGCCACGTGGCGCAAGCAGCAACAGTGGTGGCAGCGGCGGCGGCAGCGGTGGTGGTGGTGATGGGGGCAGTGGTGGGTGGAGGGTAGGGAGAGTGAATGACACGACTCATTTGCTGCTGGCAAGGGGACCTCTTCCTCACTCGCACGTAGCTGCTCTCAGAGCACGCTTTCCTGGAAATGAGGGGGCACAAACCACTGTTGCTGTTGCAGACGAAGGGTGATGGTGATCTGATGCATGAACAGGGCCACTTACGGTACCGTTTTAAGAACCAAAACATTGGGCGGATGGACCCACACAGGGTTTCCTTGTCAGTACCAAATCTGCTGTTGCGGTATTTCTCTTTGCTTTGCCGTTCCGTTTCTAACTTGTTGGGATTGACAAAAAAAACCATTTACGGTACATATCAATCAAAAGGTTTTGTTGTTTCAATACCGGAAAATGGATAAGGGCACTTAAAAAAGCAATGGGCAAGCAGAGCAGTGACCACAAGATGGAATGAGTGATCCTTCAATAGCAGGGTTGGGTTGGATTAGGTTGGGATGGGATGGAATGGAATCACGGGAATGTCTGCCAAATGAAAGGCCTGTGTGCACTGGAGAGCATCACGGTAATTCAATACTATCACTCTCGTTTTATTGTGCAGAAGGATTTCCTCCTATGCTTTACGTTTTGAATCTGCAACACTTCATTCCACGTTGAATCATAACAAAATGCCCTAGTGTGGTAACCCTACCTTCCCTATGCCAACAGGCTGCAGAATGCAGGGCAGTGCCTTGGCATGCCAACCTGCTACGCTAGGGCCTAACCATCACCTGCTGTCTTTTCTCCACCTTCCATCCTCCATGCCAAATAACAAGAGCCAGGGTAGTTGTCAAATGTTGTAGCCTATAGTGAGGTTTGTCTTAGGGGGTACAAAACTTAGGGTTAGCTATATGTACCCCAACCAACATCAATGCATCATCCATTCTTCATTTTGACATGGTATCAGTTAGGTTAGGATCCTGTGGGATCCCGTTCCGCCGTTCTCCGTTCGTACCACCCGAGCCTGATCCTAGCTCTCGTTCGTCTCCTTCTCGTTGTTACCGAGCCTAGCGCCGAGCCACGCTCTCGTTCGTAGCGTAGCCCCCCCCCCCCCCCCCCCCCCCCCCCCCCCCCCCTTCCCCCCCCCCCCCCCCCTCGAGTCGCGCCCGTCCCTTTCCCCCTGTCGCGTCGCGCTCCCCCCGTCGCGTCGCGTCCGCGCCTTCCCCCCGTCGTGTCGCCTTCCCCCTGTCCCGTCGCGCCCCCCCCCTTTTTCCCCCCGTCGTGTCGCCTTCCCCCTGTCCCGTCGCACCCGCCCCCTTTCCCCCCGTCACGTCGCCTTCACCCTGTCCCGTCGCACCCGCCCCTTTCCCCCCGTCACGTCGCCCTCCCCCTGTCCCGTCGCACCCGCCCCTTTCCCCCCGTCACGTCGCCTTCCCCCTGTCCCGTCGCAACCGCCCCTTTCCCCCCGTCACGTCGCCCTCCCCCTGTCCCGTTGCTCCTGCCCTCTCCCCCCGTCGAGTCGCCCGTCCCGCAGCGCCCGCCACTGTCGCTCGCGACCGCGCTCGTCGCCGCCGCGCCTGCAGCCGTCGCTCGCCCCCTGCGCGCCTCGCTGCGGCCCCGCCGTCGTCGCCCGCCGCTGCGCCCCCTGCCGTCGCCCGCTGCGCGCGCTGCTGGCCCCTGCTGCCGTACGCGCTGCCATCGCCCGCCGCTGCGCCCGCTCTCGTTCTCCGCTGCTTAGTCCCCTGTTACCTCCCGCTGTCACGCCCGCTGTGGCGTCCGCTCCTCCCCTGTCCCAGAGTACCGCCGAACCCTAATTTGCCTCTCATCTACTGCTGTCCCCTCCCTCTCCGTTCGCGTTCGTTTTCGCTATGGCGACTCAGCGTGTCCTTCGTTTCGACGCTGACGGTAGACCTCTTGATTTTTCCGTCTGGCTTCTTCGTGCTCGCCGTCTGTTAGAGAGTCAGGTCCAGGCAGGCGAGTCCCTCTGGGCGCACGCTACTGGTGCCCTACCTGCGCCCCCCGACCCTACGCCTTTAGGACCTGCCCCTGACGACGCCGCTAGAGCCCGCTTTGCCACTCAGCGAGCTGACCAGACGGCTTGGACGTCACGTGACGCTGCGGCCTGCATCGCGCTCAGCAGCCTCCTCCCTGAGTCTGAGGAGGTTCACTTCACTCAGGTTCGCACCGCTGCTGCGTACCTCACTGCGATTAAGGCCCGCTACTCTACTCCCGCTGCTGTCTCTCTTGGCCGCCTGTTCCTCCCGTTCCTGTTTCCTGACCTGGCGTCTTTTGAGCGCTCTGCTGACTTGATCGCTCACCTCCGCTCGCTCAACGCTAGTTACCGTGCTGCTTGCACTGAGGCACAGCTTGCACTGCTTCCTCCCCCTATGGCGATTACTATCTATTTCATCGCCACTAGCCTCCCTGACCGCCTTGCCTCCGTTCGCGACGCGCTTCTGCTGAAGCACCCTAGTGAGCTCACCGTCGAGGTCCTTGAGTCTGCACTCAAGGACGTCGAGAGCAACCTTCGCTCGGTAGCCGCTGCCTCTGGTGCTGTGCCCCCCCCACTCTTCCACGGGTGCACAGTCCCGCAGTTACCCACCTTTACTGCCTCACTTGCCACTGCCGCTACTGACGCGACTGCAGCTGCTGTTACGACTGCGTCGCGGTCCCGCGGTAGGAGTGGCAAGAAAGGCGGTTCTGGTGGTGGTAGTGGAGGTGGAGGCGGAGGTGGTGGAGGTGGCGTTGCGCCTGGCGGCGGTGGAGGTTCAGGGCCTGGAGAGGCGCCTCGTGCAGTGACTGGTGACTCCACTGCGCCTGCTGGTGGTGGCGACGCCCGAGTTCGTCAGTCGCCTCCTGTACTTCCTGCCCCGGTTGGCGGAGCAGCGGCGTGGTACCAGGCTCAGCGTCAGCAGCAGCTTCTGCAGCACCAGCAGCCCCTCTCCTCCCAGCAGCCTCAGCAGCAGCAGCGGCAGCAGCTGGCTCCAGGGTCGGGGCTGCGTCAGACCCAGCGCGGTGCTGCTTACACTCCCTGCACCTACCAGGTTCTGACAGGCACTCGTCGTGGCCACCCTTGTGGCCGGTTTCACCCCCCTGGTCAGTGCTTTGCTCAGCTCACTGACACGGTTCGTTTGGTCTACGGGGTTGGTGCTCCTGCCCCTGACTGGCTGCCTCTTGTTCAGCGCTACGGCTCCGCTCTGTGGGCCATGTCTGCTGAGCAGTTAGTTGATCTGATTGGTACTCCCCATGCTATGTATGCTGTTGTTGACTCTAGTGTTTCTGACTCTGCTTACTCTGGTGTTGTTAGCTTAGGTGCTAGCCTTGCTCAGTTGCCTGTTGCTAGTGTAGGTTCTTGTGTAGACTCTAGTCCAGCGGCTACCTCAGAGGACGGTTCGCTGTCGTTCACGCTGGACTCTGGAGCCTCTCACTGCTTCTTTCGTGACAGCACGACACTTACGCCTCTTCCTGCGCCTGTTTCTGTGGCGCTGGCTGATCCCACTTCGGGACCAGTCACCGCGCGTCACACTACCACCTTGCCGTGTCCGGCTGCTCCTTCTGGGTCTCTCACTGGGTTTCACGTCCCCTCGTTCTCCCGGAACTTGGTGGGCGTGCGACCCCTCGTGAGTCAGCACGTGGGTGTGTGGTTTGAGCCTTCTGGAGAGACTGCGGTGTGTGTTGACGGGGACTCTTACCAGCCCCTCGCCACTTTTGCTGCTGAGCCGGGCTCCGGTCTCTACACTCTTCACACTGGCCCGCGCCCTCAGCAGCGACTGCAGCAGCAGCAGCAGCCGCAGCAGCAGCGGCAGCAGCAGCCGCAGCCGCAGCCACAGCCGCCCCTCCTGCCCCCGGCCCCTGTTTTGCCCCCCGTTCGAGTCCTCGCGTCTCACCAGGTTGCTCCGTCCCCCCAGGTAGCTGTGTCTTGTCAGGTTCCTCCGTCTAGTCCGGTCGCTGCGTCGTGCTCCTGTCGGTCGCTTGCCCACCCCACCGTTTTGTGGCACCACCGGCTGGGGCACCCTTCTCCTCCTCGTCTTCGCGCTATGTCTCGTCAGCGTCTTGTCTTAGGTCTCCCGCGTGTCTTGCCGTCGCTGCCGCCGTCCCTTGCACCACCGTGCGGTCCTTGCGTCGAGGGTAGGCTGCGCGCCACCCCTCACTCCTCCTCCCTTCGTCCGGCCACCGAGCCTTTTGAGACGCTGCACTTGGACGTCTGGGGCCCCTCTCCTCGCCCTGGCCCTGAGCGTGAGCGTTTCTTTTTGGTGGTCGTTGACGACTACTCCCGCTACACCACAGTGTTCCCCCTGGCGAGGAAGTCTGAGGTGACTTCTACGCTGATCAGGTGGTTGCTTACCACCCAGGACACTCGTGGTCGTCGTGTCAGCTGTCTCCACTCCGACCGCGGGGGCGAGTTTCGCTCCGGCATTCTCGCTAGATTCTGTCGCGAACAGGGCATTCGTCAGTCCTGGACGCTTCCGGAGTCCCCACAGCAGAATGGGGTTGCTGAGCGTCGCATAGGCCTGGTCATGGAGATTGCCCGCACCTCCTTGACTCACGCCCGTGCCCCCCATTTCCTGTGGCCATACGCGGTCAGGTACGCCGCGCACCAGCTGAACCTCTGGCCACGCGTCTCTCGGCCGGAGGCTTCACCGACCAGTCTTTGGACAGGGTCCCCTGGTGTCGCGTCGAGGTTTCGTGTCTGGGGGTGCTTGGCTCTTGTCCGCGACACCTCCGCGGACAAGCTCTCGCCTCGCGCCGTTCCTTGTGTCTTCCTTGGTTTCCCTGAGGACTCCTCTGACTTCACCTTTTACCACCCTCCCTCTCACCGGTTCTTTGACTCCCGTGACGTCCGTTTCGAGGAGTCCACCCCCTACTACGTCAGGTACCCCAGTCGAGGTCTCCCGGTCCCTCCCCCCCCTCTCTTCCTGACCGCCGCTCCCCCGCCTGCTCCCCCGGTACAGCCTCCCCCCCCTGGTCCAGCCCCGTCTGGTGTGTCTCAGGCTAGCCCTCCCCCTTCGGTAGCCCCCCCTGTACAGCCTCCCTCCCCACAGTCTTCCTCGCCGCCTCCTGCAGGTGCTCCCTCTCGAGAGGTTGGTCCTGCGACTGTCCCTGTACAGGTCTCTGGTTCTGGGGGTGCTGGAGTTGGAGCTGAGCCGCGGGTTGCAGAGGACTCTTGTCTTCCGGGGGCTGGTACTGGTCGTGCGGAGTCTGGGGGTGCTGGTGCGGAGTCTGGGGGTGCTGCGTCTGGGGGTGAGGGTGTCCCTTCGGTTTCTGGAGAGCCTGGGTCTGGAGCTGGTGTTGGTGCTGCCTCTGGGGGTGGTGTGCTTGGTGCTTCGGAGGTCGACTCTGGGGCTGCCGCTGCCCCGGACACTACTCCTTCCCCCCACCCCTACCCGACCAGGTTCCAGGCTCGTGTTCGCCGTGCTCGTGAGGAGCAGCTGGAGTTGGAGAGAGAGGAGAGAGAGTTGCAGCGGCTCGAGGAGCAGGAGCGACAGCAGCAGGAGCAGCAGCAGGAGCAGCAGCAGAGGCAGCAGCCGCTGGAGCAGCAGCAGCCGCAGCAGCCGCAGCAGCAGCAGCAGCAGCTGCTGCCGTCTCCTCCTCCTGTCTCGGGTCTTCGGACCCTTGGTCTCCCGTCTCCCTCTCCTTCCTCCTCCCCCTCTCCTCCCGTCTCTGGTCCTCCGCTTCCTCCTCCTGACCCCTCTCCCGCTGTTTTCCCTCGTCCTCAGTCTTCGTTGTCTCCTCCTCCTTCTCAGACTTGGGCCTCTCGTCGCTCCCCTCGTGCTCGTCCCTCGTCTCCTGTTCCCTTCACTGACCTTCGTACAGCCTTCCTTTGTTCTCGTCCACCTCGTCCGTCTCCGTCTGTGCTTCCGTCTCCTCCTGAGTCGGCCCTCACTGTGTCGCTTCCTTCTCCTGTCACTGACTACTACCGCACGTACCGTCCTATTCTCTCTCGTGTTCTCGCCTCTCTTGTTACCCACCCTCGTGCCTCTGTGTCCTCTGTGTCCGCTCTTACTGCCGCAGTCACTGAGTTTGCCTCTACCCGCCGCCTTGACTTCGCCACCGCTCTTGTGGCTGCTCCTCCTTCCAGTCCTCTGGCCGTCGGGGGTGTGTCTGCCCTTGGCAGTGACGCCCTAGAGGACAGGCAGTTTGAGCTAGAGTTCCTGGCGGCCGCTTCCCCTCATCTCTGTGCCATGCTCCTCGCCCCTGAGGGTGACCCCGACGCCCTTGACATTCCGACTCCTCGCACTTACGCTGAGGCAGTGTCAGGGCCTTGGGCCTCTCAGTGGAGAGCTGCCATGGACGCAGAGATGGCCTCCTACAGATCCACAGGCACCTACGTCGATGAGGTTCCCCCTCCGGGGGCGAACGTAGTCGACGGCATGTGGATCTACAGGGTGAAGCGGCCACCGGGATCTCCTCCCGTCTTCAAGGCGCGCTACGTGGCTAGAGGTTTCAGTCAGCGCGAGGGAGTTGACTTCTTTCAGACCTTCGCGCCCACCCCGAAGATGACCAATTTTCGGGTGTTACTACACGTAGCAGCACAGAGAGACTACGAGTTACACTCTCTCGACTTCTCTACTGCTTTCCTTCAGGGCAGTCTTCACGAGGAGGTCTGGTTGCGTCGTCCCTCTGCCTTCACTGGCTCTTTCCCTCCTGGGACCCAGTGGAGGCTGAGGCGACCGGTTTACGGTCTTCGTCAGGCTCCTCGTGAGTGGCACGACACCCTGCGTTCTACCCTGTCTGACCTTGGGTTCCAGCCGTCTTCTGCTGACCCGTCGCTGTTCGTGCGTCGTGGCCCCACACCTTTCTTTGTTCTGGTCTACGTTGACGACCTTGTTTTCGCCACCCCTGACAGGGTTGCTTTGGCACACGTGAAGTCCGAACTGCAGAAGAGACACACCTGCACTGATCTTGGTGAGCTGCGCCACTACCTTGGCCTGCAGATCACCAGGGACAGAGCTGCTCGCACCATTACACTTTCACAGTCGCACATGGTGCAGCAGGTCCTTCAGCGGTTCGGGCTTCAGCACTCCACAGTACAGCGCACACCTCTTGCTGTTGACCACAGACTCACTGGACCCTTTCCTGACGAGCCGTTCGAGCCTAGTGGTCCCTACGCAGAGCTTGTGGGTTGCCTCATGTACCTGATGACTTGTACTCGCCCGGACCTCGCCTTCCCTCTCAGCGTTCTTGCGCGCTTTGTTGCGCCAGGGAGACACCGTCCTGTTCACTGGACAGCAGCTGTGAGGGTGGCGAAGTACCTAGCGACGACATCAGGCGTGGGGCTAGTTCTTGGAGGACAGCAGTCTGTCGTACTTACTGGTCACTGTGACTCCTCTTACGCTGACGACGCTGAGACTCACAGGTCTACTCAGGGGTACTGTTTCAGCCTGGGTTCTGGAGCTGTTTCTTGGCGGTCCACGCGCTCCTCTTCGGTCTCGACCTCTACAGCTGAGGCTGAGATCTACGCTGGTGCCATGGCGGCACAGGAGCTGCGTTGGTTGACCTTCTTGCTCACCGACCTTGGTGAGCGGCCGAGCTCTGCACCGACCTTGTTCACTGACAACAAGGCGTCTATTCTCCTTTGTCGAGAGCCACGACTGGAGAGCAGAGTGAAGCACATTCACGTCAGGTACTTTCTTCTGCGAGAGTTGCAGAGGCGTGGACAGGCTCGCTTTGAGTTTGTGGAGTCAGAGGCCAACACTGCAGACATCTTCACCAAGGCGCTTCCGCCTTGTGACCACCAGAGGTGCTGTGTGCAGTTAGGCCTTGTTGACACTGGTTCTCGTGTTGCTTAGACTTGAGTGTACTGTTTACTTTGCTTTCTATATATCTCTGTTACTTCTTGGACTGGCCTTGTGGCCACTGTTGTTTGTGCTCAGACTGTGTGGTGACGTTATGATCCACCCTGAGCTTTGTTTCTTGGACTGGTCTTGTGACCGTACTCGTTTGGTTCTGCTAGACACCCCTCACTGAACAAGGTCGGTTTGTCTTAGGGGGTACAAAACTTAGGGTTAGCTATATGTACCCCAACCAACATCAATGCATCATCCATTCTTCATTTTGACAGTAGTTGAAATCCCCCTCTTTTAACAGCCAGAAACTGCCTCTAGCTGCGCTGCCAGAACGTGTCGGGGGTCGGGCGGGTGAAATTCGCAAACTGACCGCGGGCAGCTCCATCCGCAAACGCTTCCGTCTTCACAATCCCAAAGTACCCGCTCGGATTCGCCAAGAGCAGATTCGCCACATCGAAATAGCTCTGCCCATCCGCGTTACTGTACTGCGTGGCATTATACCACACGCCAGAGAACCCATACACATAACCGGTGCGAACAGCCGGGCGGAAGAAGCCAAAGTATTTCGGAACGGGAGCGGCGTGCCTGCGGCCGCGAAAGTCCCTGCGGGTGCCGTTCCAATTCATGTCGGCCCACGCTGCTTCGGTGGCGGAGAACTCGAGAAGGGCGGCGCCGCTGTCTGCCGAGCCGGCAGCGCCGGTGCGGATGGCGATGGAGAGAGGCGCTCCGGAGGCGGTCAGGCGGATGCTGGCTCCGTAGCGAATGTTGTAGTCGCTGCCACTTCTGCCATGGGGTGGGTGGTGCAGGAGAGTGGTGAGGCATGCAAAAGGAGGGAAAGAGGCCGGGGCGGGAAGGGAAGAGGCCGAGGCAGGATGGAAAGAGGCCGGGGCAGGATGGGATGAGGCCGGGGCAGGATGGGAAGAGGCCGGGGCAGGAAGGGATGAGGCTGTGATTGGCAGTGAGCGATGGGGCTCACAGGAAGACGGCGAGGGAAGCAGGAGAGTGAACAGAAGGTGGAATGAGAGGCTGATTGGCAAGACTGACAAGCAATGAGAGAGAGCTGCTTACTGGAAGACAGCGAGGGAGATGACGCCCGTGGCATTCACATCCCCAGCAGTGCTGGTGATCTCCGTGCCGTTCAGCCTCGCCACCACCGCTCCTGGCCAGATGAGGGGCAGGAAAGGAGGGATGAGGAGCAGGAGAGACGAGAAGCAGGAGGGATGAGGAGCAGGAGAGACGAGAAGCAGGAGGGATGAGGAGCAGGAGAGACGAGAAGCAGGAGGGATGAGGAGCAGGAGAGACGAGAAGCAGGAGGGATGAGGAGCAGGAGAGACGAGAAGCAGGAGGGATGAGGAGCAGGAGGGATGAGGAGCAGGAGGGATGAGGAGCAAGAGGGATGGAACAGGGGAGATATGCAACAGGAGGGAGGCGAGGGTTGGTTGGTGACTGAGAGGAGAGCAATACGTCAGCTTTGATGTCTCTGTGCCGTTCAGCCGTGCAAGCTAACAATCCAAAACCAACGAGACAGAAAATGAGAATGAAGCTTTCGAGTTGGACTCACCCACGCGGGTGCCCAGACCCCCAGTGCGATTGCGCCGACCGCCGCCAAATCCGCCGCCAAATCCGCCACCAAACCCGACGCCTCCACCACCGCGTCCGCCTTCAAAGCCACGTCCTCCACCACCCCCGCGCCCACGGCCGCCGCCGCCGCCTCCGCCATGAGCGGCGCCTGTTGCGGTATTCGGGGACGAGGGGGAACATCGTTAGAGGCATCAGAAACAGCGATTCCGGATGCTGCAGTGCAGGTTAGTGGAAGGCGTGAAAGAATGTATTGGTTCGCAAGCATGCACTTGGAACGGATATCGAGGCTGTGCTTACAGGCGACGACGAGGAGAGCCAGCAGCGACGTGGCGAGAAGGTGGCGAAGAAACGTCGTCGTCGTTATCGTCGCCATCGTTGGGAAATGAGCTTTGAATGAAGAGCAATGACTCGATTAGAGACGAAAACGAAGACTATTGTTCGACTATATGTTCAAGCTGACGTCGGGTTACCGTACGAGAGGAGGCAGAGGAGAATGATGAAATATCCTGAGAGATTATTGGGTAACTTTATAGACCTACTCCCAGGATTGCTCCTCTGTACGATAGTATGTCGCAGCCTTGAGCTAGGTTAGGCCACTAACGGGAAGGAATTAGGGAAGGCTGCTCGCAGCGCACAGGAAGACTGGTCAGCGGCAATCACGGCCGCGGTGCGAGGAAGGAACACCGAAGCTTCTGTGAGGAGTAATACCGCTCGGACACACTCGGGCCCGCGGCTGGTACCTTTCTGTAGGTCGACTCGGAGCTGCTACAGAAGCACATTATCTCGAGGCGCGCAAAACGGGCGGGAAACACGCGAGCGCGAGTTAGTACTCCAACGTCGTCCTGTTACTTCGAGAAATTTGGAACAAAAACGTGACTGGCGAGGTGAACCTGGGGGAAGGGACACCCGTCGCCGACAGGGTGAGGCGATATTCTCCATGAGCCGAGCCGTGGAAACTGCTGGCAGAGCTGACAACGTGGCCGCGTTTCCGCGATCAATGCCGAAGCCTCATTCTAGGACAGTCTGAAACATAGGAGGGAGGATCATGACTGGGGGAGGATGGTCGGTGGAGGAAGGGAAGGTAGGTAAGCGAAATGTGTGTGTGGGCGGTGTTTGACAACTGATGACAGCTGTATTCCGAATTTCCAAAACAAGTCTTGCTGCTTTTCGACAAATAATAGTACAACCCTGCTAGACCTGACTTTAACGCTCCCAACCTCCCATTACGTTCCAGAAGTAACTCCGTTCCCTTCCGCCCTGGGATTGTTGTCCCGCGCACCAATCTTCATCGTGTTTCGTGACCAGGCCTGTCGAAGGCTGGGACTGGGAAACCCGTCGGAGAGGTAAAATTTTTAAATAGAGACAATTTGAAGGGTGTAGATATTTTTTTTTCGAAAGTTCGACAAACACCATCATTCAAATACCTTGTAATAGCTTGGTTTCGAAAGTAGAACCTTCGTATAGCGGAGTCGTTTAGAAGAATACCCGTGACGTACTTGTCCTTTAAAATTACATCTCGTTTTTTAGCATAGCCCGCCGTCATTATGGGGTTCTGCTATGATTCCGTGCCAAATCAAACATGCAATGATTGCTTCCGGTGACGTCAGAAACATACCTTGTAATAGCTTGGTTTTTCGAAAGTAGAACCTTCGTATAGCGGAGTCGTTTAGAAGAATACCCGTGACGTACTTGTCCTTTAAAATTACATCTCGTTTTTTAGCATAGCCCGCAGAAATTCGCGTCGAAATCGGGCAAACATGCAATGATTGCTTCCGGTGACGTCAGAAAATGCAGTGTCGAGAGCCAACCATTCCGATTTCGCTTTGCGTAATCCGGAATCACTACTATTCTCGACTGTTTGTGCTAATTTGAAACGAATCTTGCGAAGTGTATAGTTTTACGATTACAAATTTGTAAGCTGCGTAAAGTGTACACACCTGCCCAATAACATGGCATGCACCTGAATACAGTTCCTAGACTAAGTTGCATGCACCTGAAAATGGCCGATCATTAAACTACCTTGTTATAGCTTTGTTTTCGACAGTAGAACCTTCGTATCGTGGAGTCGTTTAGAAGAATACCCGTCACGTACTTGTACCCTGAAATTTACATCTCATTTTTTGGCATTGTCCACCATCATTATGGGGTTCTGCTACGATTCCGTGCCTAATCCACGAACCCGTGAAATTGGTTCGTAATCTCACCGAAGTGTAGGCAATCTCTGGGAGAGGTAATTTTTTGCAAAAGCAAAAATGTGAAGGGTGTGGAAGAATCTTCGGATGCTCGACAAACACCGTCATGAAAATACCTTGTTATAGCTCAGTTTTCGACAGTGGAACCTTCGTATAGCGGAGTCGTTTAGAAGATTACCTGTCCCGTTCTTGTACCCGTTAAATTATACCCTAATTTAAACATCGCCCACCTCATTATGGGGCCTGGCTATGATTCCCGCTGTAAGCACCACCGTGCCTGATCTACGAACCTGTGAAATTCGTAGAGGAAAAACCTCATGATAGAGGAATTCTTGCGTACCTGCTCCTTCCCACCTCTTAATTGTCCACCACCTCTCCCACCTGGACGCGCCCCTCTCCCCTTCCTCCCAACAACGAGCCCCCAACAACGACCCCGTTTCCCCAGCGTGGATTGCTCTGAAAGTAGGTAGCTAAAATAACTTAGGTTTCTGATCCTAATGGCTCAGGGCAGGAATCAAAATGGCCTGTTAAGGGTTGGCTTCTGACCAAGCGACAGCCCTGATGGCGACGAAGCGCCATCGATGGAGAAGAAAGGGTGAGCTGGTGGCGGAGAATCAATGCGCGATGCGATACACGAAAATTCTCCCGCTTCAAATTTCCCGCGTCACTTCGAATTTTGCCCCAAACCAGCTGGTGAATCATGATTAGTGATGCTATCTCCCCTTGTTTCACCTCGTGCGATAAGTCCCCCCTCCCAGGCCTGTCGAAGCTCCTGAGACCAATACTTGGGCCCCTGAGCTCCACGAAATCTTGCCCGTTTTTCCGGGACCCTGAGCATTTTTCCGCCCTTTAGTGTAACGGGCTTAGGCTAAAAGCAAAACTTAAACTCAAGGCTTAAATCTAGCATGTACTTTTCTGATTAAGTTCCTCCTACTCTAGAAGTGCTTCTTCATGGAGCAGGATTTGTCTGTCTACTCTACTCTACTACACCTGCATATAGTTCAACAGGTCTATCTATCTACTCTAACTACATGCTAACATCACTCTATCACAACCATTCATGCAGTCTTACGTCCCTTGCTCTCAAAGATGGCATAGACAGCCGCCCAGTCCACAGCATAATCTAACATTTTCACTGTCATCAGCTCCCCCAGCTTGACATCAGCCAGAGCAACACGGTCCCAGGATTTGATAATGTTTTGCTTGGAAAAGCCCCTCTCGCACTCCACAGTGCTGAGGGGCAAAACAGAAATGGCACGCCAGAGAGACACAGTGTGGGGGTAGTCGTCCCTCCAGTCAGAGGTGCGGAGCATGTTCGTTAACGCTTGGTTAAATTTCTGGTGCTTAAACTTCTTCTCAAGTGTGGCGGTGAAGAGGCGCATCTCCGGCTCTAAGTCTGCAGCCGAGACACCTGCCAAGGAGTCAACAAAATGCATGTGTTAAACCAACGTTGCCACTGTTACGAGAGAGACAAAAGAGTAAACCATACCTGGGAGCTGGTTCTGGAACATGTCCTGGAGCTCAGCGAGATGAAACTTCAGCCACGCCTCCTGTTCACCTGCACGCTTGGGGTACTCATGGGGCTGAAAAAACAAGACACCATCGAAGTGGCGCAGGTCACCCATGCGCTTCCCAAGGGCCTTGATCAAGCGCTCTGCAAAATGCTTGCCAAGAGCAAAGCAAGCATCCAAGTCCGACCCGCCAGGGCCAATGCTCTCCTCATGAAGCTCGATCGTGGAGCGGGTAGGGTTTCCGTTGTCATCCACTCCTTGAATGATGAGCTCGCGCTTGTCCGTGCTGCCATGCTTGGCCAGGAAGGCAGCGAGGCGGGAGTTCTTCGGCCCAAACGACGCATTGGGCTCGACGTAGCCCTGCGAAAGCTTCGTTTTGACCTTGTCGACGTGGTTTTTGACCTCGGTAATGTCCACCTGGAAAAGCACAAAACCAAAACAACTCTTCAGCTAGATGCGGTGCAACAAAACCAGATTTGCAACGTGTGGTGCAACATAACCAGATTTGCAGTGTGGTGCAACATAACCAGATTTGGAATAGCTTACCTTGCTCTTCTGGAAAGCAAGGTTGAGGCCGTTCAGCAGGAGCAATACGTCCGCCAGCAAGAACAACATGAACTGAAACTTGAAGCTGGTTGCAATCTTCAATGTCGCATGGCTCTCCCTCTGCCACATGCTCAGCAACGCCGGCAGCACATCACAGAAGCGCTGCACCGCATCTCCCCGAGACAACCAGTGCACAGCGAAGATGCCTTGCACCTCCAACTGAGTCTTCAAAATGATCTCCTGCAGGTGCATGTAGCTGGAGTGGTCGACAGAAGAACGGCCAAGTCGCTCCGCGGTCTGGCGAATGACCTGGTCAACAACATTGAACTCAGGGAAGCTTACCGCTGCATCCTTGGCGGCCAATGCTTCCCTGCAGTGGTAAGTTAGTGTTAGTTAGATATAGGCGAGGTAGATAAAAAGAAGACATTTTCAGAGTGCGTGACAAACTTACCGATGCGCCACGCAGTGGACCGCCACCAGCCAAGGGCACCTCTTCCTGAGAAGAGCCATAACTCCTCCCTTTGACCCGGTCATCACGGATGCCCCGTCCGTGGCCACTCCAACGAGCATGTTAAGGGACATGTCCTTCCGATGAAGGAAGGCGAGGATCGCCTCATAAATCGAGACGGCGTCACAGCGGTCGAGTGTGAGATGCCCGAAAAACTGTGTGACGACCTCCTCGGTTCTCTCGAAGGTAATGTACATGATCAGATGTTTGCCTCGCGCGCGATCAGTGGACTCGTCAAAAGACAGTCCATACCACGCGGATGCCTTGGCGTCCTGCAGCTGCCGGTCCGTCAAGTGTTGCGCAAGGGCCTCGATGAACTCGCCGAACGCGTACCTGCCACGCATTGTAGTTGACAGTGAAGAAGAAAAGAACAAATCAGAATCGGCTGCAAACAAACATAGCATGACGTCTACAAGAGTACAAAATCAATGGCACATATAGTACCTTGAATAGTAGCGTCCGTATGCTTCGTCATTGACCATGTCGGGGCAGCCTTGCTCCGCCATGAAGCGCACCATAGGCGGGTAGAGAGCAATCGGGGCATCGAAACGTGCACACCACTGGGCCGCCTGCATGCACTTGATGACCCTAGCCATCATTGGGTCCTTGCTCAGCATGTCCATGAGGCTTCGTTGCCTCACCTCGGTTCCTTGGGCAAGGCGCTCGGCTTCCATGGCCTGGAGATGCACCTTGGATGCGTCGTGGTTCTTGCACGCCGACTTCTGGAAATCCCGAGCACCAACGCCACAACGACCAAAAGGGGATTTCGTGTGAGGAGCGAATGTTGAACAGACCGAGCACTTCATACCGTACTGCCGCTGAACTGGGTTGTACTTCAAGGAGAGCCACGAGTACGTTTGCTTCCACCCCGGAGTGTATCGACGTGCTAGAGCGCGTTCAGCTTCCGGGATCTTGGTGTCTTTCGGCACCTCCGCGACTGCCTCGATCTCCTTGTCAAGCTTCTCGAGATCCTCTTTTGTTGGCGCGGGTTGTTGGCACCGTGGGCGTTTCTTCGGGAGCGATGGAGGTTCTGCGAAGTTCAGGACCGCCTGACGAAAGCGGCCATGAGGCCTGCACGGTCCAGACGACCCGCTCTCTTGGGTGAGACGGGTGTGCGAGACGGCGATGGCAACGTCCTGCATATTATCATCGTCTGTGTCGTCCGCCTCAGATTTGTTCTCGTCATCAGAGGGCAGGCTGACAAGCTCGGTGTCCGTATGGGAGCTAATTTCTGGGAAAGGCAGCGGTTCGTTCTGGAAAACAGCACCGGGAGGATCGGCGTCACTAGGCTCCATGGCTCGAGAAGGCAGGTTGAGGGAGGGGACCAAATGTTGCTTAAATAAGCACAGCGAGTGAGCGACACCCATGGCTGTGTGTGTCAGCTTTGCTCGGCTGGCTAGATGGACGGGATGAGCACGACAGGAAGAGGAGGTTGAAACAGATGAGTAGGATGGGATGAGCTGAGTGATCTGTTTGGCTGTTGGTTCTGCTTGGAATTGCTGTCCAAGCTGCTGCTGTATTAGAGTGGAGTAGGGAGCCCTTTGCTCACTCACAGCAGCCACCACCAAGTGATGTTGTCACATATGTGACGTGTGAGCCTAGTTTGATTGGCTGCGAAGGTGAGAAGCGGCCGCTCTAAGGCTCTCTAAGCTGACTAACCCAATAGAGAGATAGCCGATTGGCTGAATGACGATGAAGTTATCGTCCTTCCTGGCGCTATCTCGTGCTGTCAGAATCTAGAGACAAGAATGAATGCATTGATCAAGAGTTGGGTACATAAGCTAACCCTAACATTGGGTTGTACCCCATATGGGCTACCCCACTAGCAGCCTACACAAACACAATATGCATAGTTTGACACGTGCAATATCCAAATCCTTGATTTTCAAAGGGGGGGGGGGGGGGGGGGGGGGGGGGCACGGACGGAACGCAGGGGGGGGGTCTTTCGAACCGAAACCAATACTTTGATTCAGGGGCAGGGCCCAATCGGGAACTTAACGAATCCGGGAAAGGGCCGATTGAAACCCTAAACTCTCACGGGAGACATTCGAAACCAAAACATATTTTGGACTAGGGTAGCCGAAAGTAGCCCTTAATGTTCACGGCATTAAGGGCATTTGCCCTTACTTCGACAGGCCTGCCCCCTCCCCCCCCCTGTGTGTTTCGTCGTTGACTAGTTGTCGTTGACTATTCGTCGCATGAGACGCGACGCGAACCTGAATGACGAACTGGGCTCCACGGAGTACATTCATTCGCGTCGCCAGCCTCATCGTTGTTTCCCTATTGGAGGGTCCTCCTTTACAAGCGCTGATTATAGATGGCATAGACAGACTTAGAACCTTATGGTTCTACCACATGCAGACCCTCTCATTGATGATCGCACTCTTCAAATTTTATTCCATTACACAGTATATACCGTATGGCCCCGGATATAGGCGCCGTCCGATTAAAGGCGCCGGCGCTTCTATCTGGAGCATGGCGCTTATAGAGGATCCTCGATTAGAAGCGCACCCCTTTTCAGGTCTGAACTTATTATAAGCGCATGTGCAAAGTCTGATATCTACTTATCATTCTAATTTCACAGAACATTACATTTTTTAAACAATTCCTAACAAGAGTTGTTTCACCCTATCAATTTCAAGGTTCATACACAACAGCCTACTCAGGTTGAACCAGCTACTCAGGTACTACAGCCTAGCTACCTACTCCTCCTCGTCAGACTCGGGCTCCTGGCAGTTGTTGCCAAAGAAGCCGTCGGCGATGATGTCGTCATCGACATCGACTTCACGAGTCAGCTGGCTTCGCCTGTGCGCCATGGCAAGCGAGTCCTCGCTGCCGTCAAGAGCGTTGCTGATGCCACAGGTGAGGAAGGCGCGCTTGATGAGGTCCGCGGGCACTGCCTTCCATGCCCGCGAGATCCACTTCACTACCACCGCAGGAGGCGGCTTCTTGAGGTTCCCTGCACCAACAGGCAGAGACACATCACTCTCATCAGTTTTAATAAACGGTTCACGAGAGCATGTCAAGGAACGACTGTAGTTCTTCTATGTAAGCTTACCTGCTGCTGTCAGTCGCTCTTGGCCTTCGTCTTCAAACCACTTCTGGTACTGCTGGCGGACGGAGGCCTTGAACGACTTGTTGATAGAGACGTCCAGCGGCTGAATCTCCGCCGTACAGCCTGCCGGGATCACCGCCGGCACGATGTTGAGCTCGGCGAACTTGTCCTTGACCCCTTGGGTGAGGTGACCGCGGTAGGAGTCGAGGACCACCATCGCGCTCCTCGCCTGCCTGCCGAATCGAGGCCTAAGAAACGGTTGGACGCACTCCTCCAGCCATCGGATGACGCCTTCGGCGTCCATCCACCCGTTCTCGTGGCAGGCGACGACGACATCTGCACAATGATACACAGGCAGGGTGGTTAGCGACGATTTAGTAAAGCAACGAATCAACCCATTTAAAGTGCAATTTCTTACCGGGCGGGAAATCTCCCTTCGGCACTGTCTTGCGCTTGAAAAAAACCCACGGTTTGAGTTTCTCCCCATCCGCCGTGCACGCCAGCATCACGGTGACGCGCTCCTTCTGGTATCCCGCACTCCGGATGGGCACCGACCGCACGCCTGTCTGTTCCACGGTGGTGGTGGCGGGCATCTCCAGCCACAGCGGCGTCTGGTCGGCGTTGATGATCCACGTAGTCTCGATGCCGCGCTCACGCCGCCTATCACGCACGTACTGCCAAAACTTGCGGCACATCTCCGCGACATCTGTAAAAAAACGAGGCAAATAAAGAAGATGCGTCAGTATACATGAACTGGAACGACCCACAGGCTTGATACACGGTTAAGACTTACGGGCTGCAGTTTTCTGGGCGACGCGCGTCTTCATGCGGACGCTCAGATTCCACCGCTTCCGAAACCGTTCCGACCACCGCTGGCTGCCCTTCCACTTCACAAGCGGGTAGAGCAGCTTCATGAACTCGTGCGACCACTCCTGCAGACGGCCGACGGAGACTGCTGTTCCCTTGCGGCGCCACTCCAGTAGCTTTTCGTACACCTTCAGCTCCATCGGGCGGTACCATGAAGACCTCCCGCGGCCGTGCATGCGCTTCCGTGCGGCGTGCACCTCCTTGAGGAAATCGGCGGCGCGCTTCCACTCCGTGAGACACTTCCGGTGGATGCCGCTTTCTCGAGACAAGGAGCGCACCGACACCCCCACATCCAGCCGCGCGACCCACTGCAGTTTTTCTTGCGCAGTATAAGCTTGACGCTTATGCTGGTTGACTTTGTTCCTGGGAGAGGGGGGGCGGGCATCACGATTCTCAGCAGAAGGGTGAGGTCGCTTGCGGTTAACAGGAGGGAAAGTCGGAATCGGGAGTTTCTCAGGGAGCCCATCGCGAGACCAGTATTCGACGCCGTCGTCGTCGGCGGCGCCTGGTTCACCCTCGGGAAACACATCGGCCGCGGTGCCAGCCTCGGTTTCGGCCTCCGTGCCATCCTCGGCACCGTTGTCGCCCTCGGCACGACCTTCTTCCGCGGCGTCAGCCACATCGTCGTCGGCGCCGACGGCAGATTCGTCCCACGTGCATTCTTCGGGCGCGCCCCATCTTGGTGCAGGTGCCGGAGCCCGTACATACACGTCTGGACCCTTGTTATTGTCCGGTTCAGACAGGTACTCGTCGAAGGCGGACGGGAGCAAGAGCGTAAGCACGGGATGATTCCCAGGCGGTTGTGGGAACGCCTGATACGGAGGAGCAGGAGGAGCGGGAGGATCGGGAGGAGCGGGAGGCGCAGGAGGAGCAGGTGGCGCAGGAGGAGCAGGAGGCTGTGGTGGCGATGGTGGTTCTGGTGGGATACGTGTGTACCATCCGTCAGCGTCAACTGTGTAAGCGGGCCTAGGTTTTTTCTTGAAAAGGAAATGAGTGCCTGTGAATTCCGCCATGGCTTCCGCAGCCAGGCGGGCGTGAACAAGAAAGTGAATGGGAAACGCAAAGCATGAATGAAGAAATGAACGATTGAAGAGGACCCCTTCAGGAAAGCGCCTCGGGGTCCTCATCAATGAAAGACGAAAATCACCCTGCCTGAACCCGCAGAGGAGGGTTCATGGCACCAGACGTGCTGTGCTGGCAGGGCATATTCCACACCCTTCGAGAGGGTTCGGATGAGTTGTCCTGCCTGGCCGCGCATGACAACCCGATTGGGCCGCACGACAGCTTTTGTGTCAGCGCTGGCAGGTGCGCTGCACTGGGACGTGAAGTGTGCGGTGGGGAATCGAATCGCGGCGAATAGCGCGAGGATTCCATGCATGACCCCACGTGAACGGCACATCGTTGTGTTCGCCTTATTGCAAGCTTCATTTTGGTACCCTTACAAACAAATTTCATTTTTGCCATTATAAAGGCGCCGGCGCTTATGGCCGTTACTCGATTATAAGCGCACCCAAATAAAATCAAGATTTTATTATAAGCGCATCTGCGCTACTATCCGGGGTATGACGGTAATTGGAAAGCTGCGCATATCACAAGCAGATATTCAAATCCCAACTGGAACTATCACTCGACATGAATTCTCCACCACTTCAACCATCATTGTATCCTTTCCTGCATCGTGCCATCTGTGCTCGTCAACTCTCCCGCTGTCCAAATCACCTGGCTTCATGACCACATCACTACAGTAGCTTGTTGCAGGTACCAAGGTCAAGCCGCCATCAAACCTATTTTGCCCTCCCATGGCGCCAGTACCAGCAATACCATCCAATCCCAGAGTGAAATCCACCCAGCCTGTTGGCAGGTACGGTGAAAACACCAACACAAGCTTTCGCTCCACATTCCTCCCCCCAGCAGCAGCATCCGCCTGCACTACTCCATATTTATAACCCTCCCAAGCCTGCTGTCCGAGCCTGGGTGTCTGGAACGACGAGTAGGATGAGAAGGTGGCCGGAGTTCGTCTGGAGAGGAGGATTCGTGTGTTGATGCAGTGGGACCAGGCCAGTCCTAGGGCTGGTACGACACGCTGACCTGATGACCACAGAATTTGCGAATTTTCAGAGTCAGAGAGGATATCAGGATGCGGACCAGAATACGTCACAGTTTCTGATGCTGCTGCCTCTGATTTCCATTCACCATCTTCTTGCTGCTGTTGCTGTTGCTGCTGTTGCTGGATTGACACTGGGATGTGGATTTTCGACAGCGGCCGTGACCTGGTTGGTGACCACAACAGCAATTTTATACCGACCCGCAAGATGCTTGAGAGCAGATGCGATGCGGAAGAGCATGGTGGTGCGCTGACACATGTCGTCGCGCGAGTAGTCGAATTCCGAGCGGAAGAGCGAGGCGATTGAGTCGATGATGAGAAGGCGGATGGGATGGGCTCTG